GCCTTGCTTCTTATGTTTCCTTGTTCTAAACTGATGTTTCAAATTCCAACATAAACAAATTATCAATGTTATTTTTTTTCTATACACACCAACAGATATCTGCATTGCACAATGACTCTTATTATTTTATTTTAATATCTCGGCATACTTGTGCATGTGTACTAGTCTTTGATTACACATGCATGACTTTTCAGCAGTCATCTGTTTCTGAACTGAATATTATGCTAATAAAGATAAGTAACATAAAAAAAGAACTCAAGGATTCAATTCATTGTGAAAACATTTTTAATTTCTTGCATAAGTTACTTTGATCTTGATAGATCAAAATAGATCCAAATTAAATAGAGGAGATTAAATTATGCAGTCTAATTCATTTCAGCCAGTCTGTCTAAAATCCGGTCCTATTTTTCAGGCAATAATAAATTAATGAAAATTTAAGAAAAAATATACCTTGCCTGAGTGAATCAGTCAATATGCACATTAACTAAAATTTTCAGTCAATATACATATTGGACCCGTTTATAGACACTGACTGTAACATATGTAAGTATTATCTGTTGTATGCAAAAACAAATAACATAAATAAATCCATTTATCTACATGGAATGATTGTGGGGTTCAATTTACATTTATTTAACCATCAGATGATTTGATGATAAACTTTCTAAATTCATATTTGCTATATGATAATAATATCTACAAAATATACTTTATATTACAGGTGTCTTGAAATATTGTTGAATGAAAATCAGGATACCTAGATACATCAGGATAGTGTGTTGGTATGTATGGGAAATAATTTGTCAACATTAAAATAAATATAATGTTACTAAAACAAGAAGATAAAACTATGATTTCCATTTTTTTATGCATCATACACATTTTGTGGGGTAGTCAGTATGATTTGTTGTTTGTTGGGACAAATCTCTGTAATTTACTACTATTTGAAGAGCATGAGTATCAGAATTCTGTAAGAAATTATTGATCAATGATTTAACACCTGTTATGACTCAGAGCACTTAATGGTGAGACACATGTTATAAGGGGCAGAATAATATGGGTAAATCTCTTTTTTTTAAGTATGATGACTAGTATGTATATTGCAACTGAGTAACTGAGTGCTTAATAGATGCATGGTAGATTTTCATTTGGCCTATTTCTAAAAAATAATATAAATTTAAATATTCAGATGCAACTTTTATTTTTGATATAAAAAGTAACATTTAAAATCAGTTGTTTTATTATTTTGAACGTTATTTCTTCTTAAAATATTTGTAAAGGCACGGATGTATACTTACTATATATAGATCATTGGTAAACCCTGTCAAAGATGTCTGTGTGTTGCAAATGTAGGCATATGACTGATTTTATTAAATTGAAGTCCATGGTAGTATTTGTTGAGATTTGAATGCTTGAATTGTTGTGGGAAATAACACAAAGGCTGATAAATAAAATGAGTTTGTATTATTTCATCGATGCAATATGTTAGCCCAGACTGACAGAATGCCTGGCTGTTTTCTGACGTAGAAAATACCGTGGCAATATACCGTTTTTCATGACGTTTTTCCCGCTATCTTCCATAGTGACAATTCGTCTTGTAGTTGAAGACTCAACAAATGTTGATAATATAAACTAATAATCACTACAAAATATGTGCTAGTTAAAAATATTCAGTTGTAAACGACCGTTTTTGAACGAAGGTGCAACAGGATAACTCTTTAGCTTGGCTCCGTCTCTACATGTCAGTAGTTGGCGCAGCGCGCATAGATCCGGGAACCAGACCGGAAGCGACAGTTTGGACCGTCGCTTATATCATTTCAAAAGGAGAGTTATTGCCCTTTGGAACAAAAAGATCGCCCATTAGGATCCCTTCTCTTTCAGTTTTTATAGTGGAAAATCGACTTTAGTCATTTATGGAAAGTTATTTTTGGCGTCGAATGTGTAACATAAATAAGTACACAAATTCAGTTGACACGTCATTAGGTCTTTCAGATGATATATGTAGGCATTAGTTTGTTCGTTCGTAGTTTACCTAACGCTGTCAAGTTAAACATTTCGTTTCACAGTACGATAAAAATGGGCGGATATTGAGTGAAGCGGCATGGGTTGAGTCCAGTGTTCTGCCTGACTTTTTCATCTGAATTAAAGAAACACCAATACAGCCTTAAAGCTAATTATGGAGCTGTCTAGCAAGGTTTATTTTAAGTTGGACCCCTCTCTTCACGATGGAGGTAATATTACCGTATTACATGTAATGACATGGTCATGAAAAACATCAAAGGACTCATTCTATCGTGACGGAAAGAAACATGAATTCTCAGGCTGATCATTTTGTCTGTTGTCACCTTGTTCGCAAATCAACGTCCTTGTTTCATGTAACTTTCCGCACAACGCACAGCTATATATGGTAAGCTCGCATTAAAGCTCATGACACACACGGTGTTAACTTGTGAACTGACATTTCCACATGACATTTCTGGTATTGTCACTTTCAACTGTCACCGTGTTCTGAACGTTTTATGATGAACTTAGTTCTTCATTGGTTCTATTGGGCGGTCGGCTAGCCTAGTGGTTAAAGCGTTCGCTCGTCACGCCGAAGACCCGGGTTCGATTCCCGACATGGGTACAATGTGTGAAGCCCGTTTCTGGTGTCCCCGCCGTGATATTGGTGGAATATTGCCCAAAGCGGCATAAAACCATACACACTCACACTTATTGCTTCTATAAATCCGAGTTTAGTACAGTTTTTATGCTTTACACAAGTCAGTGCCCTGCACACATTAAAACATGTTTCAGTAAATTTCATGGTTGAGTGTACATAAAAGAATATGTATACACAAGTTACATAAACTTAAATAACTGGAGGTCATATTTAAGTTGGCCTAAAAATGTTTTTTTGTCTGAATTTTGAAATTGATAACAAATTATTGCGCCCATATTTTCATTTGAATATGTATTGCGATGTATAGGCCAAATGCAGATTCCATCTATATATTCGTCTCCATATGTACACATTTATGTAGTTGTTTTTATGTGACACTGATGGTGAAATGTTTACTTGTCAGAATTTTCACCAATTTCGATCTCAATTTATAATTTTGTCCTTTCACATCATAACATTTTTATAACAAATAGTCATCATTAATTGGAATGTTTAACATTAAATTGAATAGACTTGATTAGAATCAATGAACCAATAAACAAGCTTCAATCCGTCTGTCCGACCCATGAAGATCCGGGATAGAATAGGTCTTCAGCAACCCATGCTTGGTGTAAATGGCGACTAGTCTGTGCTTGTCGTAAGAGGCGACTATAACGGGATCGGGTGGTCAGCCTCGCTGACTTGGTCATCGTATCCCAATTGCGTGGATCGATGCTCATGATGTCAATCACTGGATTGTTTGGTTCAGACTCGATTATTTACAGACCGCCGTCATATAGATATAATATTGCTGAGTGCAGTGTTAAATCACAAACAAACAAACAATATATCAATCTCTAAATGCGAATGTACAATTTCTTCACCATGTCTGGACCAGACAATCCAGTGATTGACACCATGAGCATCGGTCCACGTAATTGGGATCGATGGCATGCATCAACCAAGTCTGCGAGCCTGACCACCCGATCCCGTTAGTCGCCTCTTACGACAAGCATAGTCGCTTAGAGATTGATATAAACAAAATTAATATGAAGTTAATGTCAACTTATTTTAGACAGATCACTGTCACTGGTAGTTTTGTCGATTAGATTTGATTATAGTTAAATTCTCATACATATAACGGACAATTGTGGATGGACGCTCACAAAAGCTGTATTTGTGACTGGAAATTAATTTGAAAGTTATATCAATAATACTCTCCCCCCCCTCCCAATCTTGGTCTATCCCCGGCCGCTTCATACCAAACGACGTTAAAAGATTGTACCTGTTGTTTCCCTGCCGGGCACTCGGCATAAAAGTGAGAAAACAAGCACTGTGGGGCTCGGAGTGGCGGACCCATGTTAAACTGCGACATATCAAACAGGCATTAGTGCATGCGGACTAGCACAAGCAGCCACATACGTCCATGCGGGGGAGGGGGGGGGGGGGGGGGGGGGGGGACGCGCGACTGCGACCGTGCCATGCCCTTTGTAACAGTGTACCATTGTTTACTCATTGAGCAGTTGCATGCAACCGAACTAAATAGCACAAGAGCTTCAAGTTACGTATTCGTATTGAGTTGCAACCTTCTTAACAGCTTATTGAAACTCCACTTAACACACCAGTGACGGTGTTAAGGGCACACGCACTGAGACAAGGTGACGGATAAAGCTTGATTAACATGCTGCACAAGGTATTGATGTAAGTCACTTACCACGATGTATTGTGGTTACAGAACTCTACACGCTCTAACCCACGTAATATGTATGGCCAAGGATTTTATAATCCGGATATATGACACGCACGCACGCACACACGTAAATATATATACATATACCCACACATAACGAAAAAAAATAGTAGCAACAAATGAATGGATAAAGAAATAAAGAAACAAAGAAACAAAAAAGTATGAAGGAATGAATACTAAGGAAATGTTTATTGAAATAAGGGCAGTAGCGAACTAATTAAACATTAACATTATTGCACTGTACCGCATGCATTAATGCTGATAGAAATTCTTATTAATATTGAATCCTGTTTTTTGGTCCTTTGCATCTATAAATGTAAATGCTGCTAAAGGATAATCCGGATTAGCGGGGTTAATATACATATCTCTGTTTAGGTTGAAAGTCAGAGGTAGACCCACTGCCACGCAATTGCAATTTCCATACAACTTTCATTTTTCTAAATATAAGAAAATGTGCGTCAGAAAATTGACACCACAGCCAGAGGATTTCCTTGTTCTGAATGTCAAGCTCCAGTAGTGTGGTAGACATACCGCACCAAAATAAATCAACGGGTTTGTACTTCCCGGTGTCAAACAAATAGACCAGTGACAAGACAGTAAACAAGTCTACCTGCAATCACCACCCGTGACGTCACCACTGATAACGAGTATGTCTGATACTCACATGACACCCGTACACCGATCGTACTCCAGTATAGCTGTACGTAGTGAAGGTACATAAAGACGGACCTTAGATTAACACGGGACACCACATTCCCCACGGGTCCTCAAACGTTTAGTATAAGCCGATTTGCTCTATATCAGGTAAGACCGGTTTGATCAAGAAATAGACTCTGCTACAGACCGCTGTACATTCGACACTGTGATCATATTACTGGCATCTTACTGACTTCAGCGGACTAGAAGGTGTCGCTTTTTTGTCATACATGAAACAAATCAGTGTTATTCAGGTTTGACGTAAGTCAGTTTAATTGATTGTGTAATATTTTCAGGTATTCAACTTGTGAACATAAACGTTGAAACCCGGGTGCACCCACACGGGCGCAATGGGGTTCTTCAAACAGCTCGGCTTGCTGATGTGGAAAAACTGGTTGCTACAAAAGAGAAAAGTGTGTGTGACGGTTTTTGAAATATTTCTTCCCCTGTTGTTTGCCATCGTGCTTCTTATGGTGAGATTTCTGATTAAAACCAACCCCAAAGACGCTCCCACCTTGTACTCCGACTTCAGTGTGGATTCCAATGGGACGAGATTCGTTGGAGGAAACGCCGGGAGACTGGTGTTGTACACACCTAACTCTACTGTGATCAACGCCTTGATGGATGACGTACAACTGACTATGAACCAGTCTATATCAGGTAAGAGAATTGGATCTGTGTAATTTTCAGAGGCCTTTTGTCGTCGTTAGTCATGCTCTGTTAATCAGGTCTTGGATAACATGTGCACAGATCGTCGTATGATATGTCAATCGAAGTGTATAGTCTATAATACCAAAACGGTGTATTATTGTAAGCAGACCAGTCCTTGTTTCACCCCCTAATGCCGAGCGCCAGGCAGGGTAACACCAAGTACCACCTTTTAACGTAATTTGGTATGACGCGGCCGGGGATCGAACCCCCGACCTTCCGCTTGACCACGGAGGCGTCTTACATGTACATTGATGTCTAAGGAATATAATATTCATTATTGTTTTGTGTTTATTGTATTTATCTGAAAACCAAAAAAAACCCATTGATATCCCACTCGAGTGTGATACTAACTTTCAGTATGCCTCACTAACACTGATTTTCACAGAAAGATAGTGAAAAGCAGTATGAAAGTTTTTGTCTTTTCTTGTCAAACAACATCTCGTGACCGACAAAGTTGACATTTTCACTGAAAATATAAACTCACTCAATGTGATAAAGATGTTATTTGACAAGAAAAGACATGATCCCCTGGCGTTAAGTCACACACAAAGACTGAAACTATGTCTATCAATGTGTCTTTGTTCTCTGCTAGGCCTTCTACTATACGCTTCATGTCCGCCTGCTTGATGTTGTTCTCTCATGTTCTCGTTTATTGTTTTATTACCACCCAACGAGTCAAAAACAGTTACCGAACTGTTCACAATAAAACAGCCTTATGTACCTATAAAATGTGTGTTAGGCACCACCGAAATATAAACGCCACAGAATCCAAGTCCAATTCGGGACCAATGGCCAATATCAATCATGATCTAGACAGCTGTGTATAATATTCACCGACACAAGAAACACAAATACCATACATGTTGGTTAATATATGAAGAATAGCTCATATGCAAGAAATATTCAGCGTTAGAAATTGGCACGAGTCCTATAGTCCTTGCCCAACTGCCCAATAGTTAAGGTATCATAAGGACTAGTAGAAATTCACCTTTTTGCCAGGGTTTTGCTATATGTTATCATTATAAGGACTAGTGGACTAAAACAGTTTGTTTCTATCGCTGATATTAAATTGGTTTGGGGCACAAAGGAATATACTATTATGTTGTGTGAACCGACGCTCATATCATATTTCCATGACTCGAGATGCACCATTTGTCTTGTGAAGGATTAGCGTGTAAAGTCATGAAATCACGTGCACCTTACCGTGATAAGACTAAAGACGCGGTGGTAACACTTGACTGGTTGTTAGTTTTGTCATTAAGGGATAAACATTGGAAACTTTCTCTCTTAACGTACAAACTTCTTTATAATGTTTCTATGTTTCGCGTTTCTGTTGGCGGTGAGTATAGTTGCGTTTGGAAATCGTAATGGACAGGATATATTGAACAAGGATTCGTGACGAAGACCACAATGTTTCTTGTGTCAACGGAAACAATCAGGAGGGATTGATATCGTCATTTGACCGCACCGTAGAATTAAGTAGACGTTTTTTATTTTCCAATGTCCGGCAGTGACCATGGAATGACCACTACACTTTCAGGTGCGATGTTAAAAGGCTTCAGGGTATGAAACTCCCAAAAATTCCAGCCAGACCACAGGACTGGCTAGCTGAAAAACATGCCAGCCCTGACCAAAACCTGCCTGCCCACTATAATCATGTTTCTCAGGATAATTTAATTAAAACTTTAAATCGAATTCATTGAACATGAAGTAATGCAAGAAAAGAAATAGCAAACATTTTTTGGTCAGATTTGTATTTAATATCCTAGAATACATCATGTAAATATCCTTATTCCTAAATAGGGCCTCATGACTTTCAATCAATGTCCATATCACTGTCATTGTGATTGTCACTTCCTTCAACGAGGTCACTGAAGTCTGACTCATAGTCAGAATCTTGATATCTAGTAGCAATATCCGTGGTAACAGCTGCTCTTGCAATGGTATCATCACTATCATCATCTTCTTCGTCTTGTGTTGCACGATATCGTGTATATAGACGGTCCGCTTGTAGCATAAGCGCATCGCTAAATTTTAGGTTGTCTAAAAGCTAACGGGGTTTCTTTTTGGTTACATTTTATCATTCATCTTTACATGTGAATTAATGCTTATCATCGGGAAATATTTAGAATATTTTCACATATGAAATATAACCCGACCGTCGGGCAGGGGGATTTGAAAATCTGGCAGCCCGAGTTGAAATATACCCGTCTCGGGCGGTCGGGCAGGCAGGTATTTCGAACGCTGTAAAGGGGCGTGTTAGTATAATGTTCCGCCTGCATACTCGGGGGGAATACTTTACGGCATGTGTCTGCTGGCGTTCTCATGAAATAAACAGTGACATTTTGTTTGTAGAAGACTAAGGTGTATTTGTTTCCGTTTAATAAAACCCTCGGGTTAGCCTTGCTCTAAGGCTGTACTGAAAGATAAGTGACTTTATGTCCATGTAGTAATTCTATCCTCCTATTAGGCAAGTCAAGATATGTGGACTGAACAAGAACTCCAGCCTCTTATCGGGACAACTTGTTCTTGTTATTTACATACTCTCGAAATAACGATTTGATCTAATAATTATTGCCTCAGAGACTTGTGCAAGTCTACCCTGGGGTTAAAACCCGGTTATCGATTCCAAGCTTATCTAACACCAGTGTTTGCGTTGTGTTTCAAAATAACTGGGTGCCCTGTGACGCGGTAGCCGCGATCGCCGTAGGCGCGAAGCTATCTAGGGGGGTTTGGGACCTGAAATGGTCTACTTTAGGCCATTCTGAGCAAAAATAAGTGTGTGGTTAAAATCTTTAAGTCTCAGTTTTTATGTGTGTACACAAGACATCTTTGAAATCTTCATAGATTAGCCACTTACCTATTTCAACACCAGTCAACTAGAAGCTTTATCTGCTGTGACACCAAGTTCCCAGAGACTCTTGTGTGATAGATGAAGCCAACATTTATCAAGGAAAATATCTGCTTGTAAAACATTAGTCCTGCACCATGACTGTGGAATATATATATTTTGTGAAAACAAAACCAATCTAGAAACGTATACAAAAGCAAGTCAAGCCAGTTCTAGCTAGGAAATCAGCAAAGGGGAAATTATATATTTATTTTTGGAGTCGAGAAGGGTATTGTGTAATATAAGATTTCATAGACTAAATGTTAGTCTAGTAAAACATCTTTGCAACTACATGTTATACACCATTTGAAAGGTCTAATCCTACTGTTTATACATATTTATGTTTATCACATTATTTAAATAAAGCATTTACAACTTAAGTAAAATAAAAACAAATGTAAGCTAACACATTCAAACGTCCAGATTGAGGACCAAGGAAGGGTAAATTTGACGATTTTTGTCAAATATAAACAAACATAAAATCCACTTGCCTATTTCTTTTTTATTTCATTGTTTACCTGATCGGGAAAGTATTTTATAAATAATTGTAAATAGTATCTGTCATCACCAATTTCTCGATACCTGCGGCTGTCAGTAACATTTAGAAAAACGTCCGTTTTCGAAGCTTCGTATTAGAAAGTTTATTTTTTCATCTACACTAACCTCGCCATGTCTTTTCGTCGCTGTAAGTTTGTCACGTGCTTTCTTGTCGATATCTGCTACGAGGGTGGTGATTGGTCAAACTAAGGCTGTCAATCAAATTACAGCAATGGCACGTGTGTAATCAAAGATTTTGACGAAAGTTTTTTGTTATTCTGAACGTTTCAAGCAGGAAACATGGAACTTCGTGGATGTATCGTTCTAGGTTAGGAGCTGTGACACAGGTTTTTCAGGCATATTGGAAACATCGTATCTGAGCCGAGAAATCGAGGCTACGAAAGCCGAGATGTCATTTGATTTACATTATACGCGATCGCACGAAAAGATTGAAATAATAACTTAGCTGTAATTTCGACAACTTATTGATATATTTTGGTTGATGTTATTTATTACTTTGTATACTAGATTTAAACATTGTTTAAAACGTCTTTGTTTTGCTCTTTGACATGTTCGGGGGCACGATAAGATTATATAGATCTACCCTTTATTTTGACGTGACTACGACATGGCTGGTCTACCGGCCTACGGTGTTGAAAGAGTATATTGGCTCTTCAAGCAAACTTTCTTGAAACCTATTTTTCTTTTGACAAAGTTTCGGGGATGCCATTTGGACTTTAGTCATTGACATTGACAAAATACTGTTAACAAGGTCTGCGATTGGCTTACGTTTCTATTTCCGTTTTGTAAACCAATCAGCGATGCCATTACGGACACGACATGAAAGAGAAACGTCATCGGATACCTCTCAGTTTCCCGCCGAAATCTGTGGCTTGCACCGGAACCCCGCGAATATTGGATACACATTATCACATGGGTTTTGGGTGCGAGAGAAACGCGAAACAAAACAACAATAAGTTAAGTGACGTGAAGTGACCTTTTTTCAAAATAAAAAACGCTTAAAGGGACGCGTGAAGGTTGGTTTTTTTGCGTCCTATTTTTTTTCAGTGCGTATTTTTGTATATGGGACGCCGTAAACGCAAACACTGAATGTTACACTACTTCTAACATATTCTTGGAACTTGCGTGTATACATAATGTGTGTACCTGAAGGTGCATTTTGATTGGATATTACATTTCTGCAAGTGAAATCAGTTTTCCATAGGTAAGATATATAGATGTTACAACCCCACGGAGAGTCCGGGTTAGAATAAATTCTCAGCAACCTATGCTGGTCGATAGTTAACCAAACGTGCGGGTGGGTGGTTCGGTTACGTGGTCGTTTGAGTGTCATCGTACCCCGACAGCTTGAATCGTTGTTCATGATATCAATCACTACATTATTTACAGACCACCGTCATATAGCTGCAATATATACTTAATATGATTTTTTCTCAATAAGAACCGAATTCTTCTCTGCCGACATGTTGAGATCAAACAGACATGACGTTCCTGAGATGTC